GCCCAACCAGCATCCTTCTTGTAGCATGTAGACCCTTCTGATTTGCAGCACCTTGTCTCTCCACAATTCTCCACTCTGTCCTCTGAGCATACAACCGGAGGCGAGGTTGGAGGTGTGGTTGGCGGTACGGTCGGAATTGAAGTTGGAGTTGACAACACCTCACAACTCCAAGGTGTCTGGTACTGTGGAGGCTCGCTGTAGTCGATGCCAGGAACACAGCTGGTCATGCATGTGGCCCAACCAGCATCCTTCTTGTAGCACGTAGACCCTTGGGATGTGCAGCACCTTGTCTCTCCACAATTCTCCACTCTGTCCTCTGAGCACACAACCGGAGGCGAGGTTGGAGGTGCGGTTGGGGGTAAGGTCGGAGGCATGGTCGACAACACCTCACAACTCCAAGGTGTCTGGTACCATGGAGGCTCGCTGTAGTCGATTCCAGGAACACAGCTGGCCATGCATGTGGCCCAACCATCATCCTTCTTGTAGCATGTGGACCCTGAGGACGTGCAGCACTTTGACTCTGCACAACTTTCCACTCTGTCCTCTGAGCATATAACGGGAGGCGTTGTTGTAGGAGGCAGTGTTGGGATCACGGTGGGAGCCGATAACACTTCACAACTCCAAGGCGACTGGAACTGCGGAGCTTCACTGAAATCGATTCCAGGAACACAGCTGCTCCGACATGCGGCCCACCCGTCATCCTTCTTGTAGCATGTAGAGCCCGGAGATATGCAGCACCTTGTCTCTGCACAATTCTCCACTCTATCGGCCGAGCATGTTTGTATCTCAGACAAATCCTCACAACTCCAAGGTGTCTGGTATTGTGGAGGTTCGCTGTAGTCGATGCCCGGAACACAGCTGGCCATACAGGCAGCCCACCCGTCATCCTTCTTGTAGCATGTAGACCCTGGAGATACACAGCACTTTGTCTCTGTGCAGTCTTCCACGTCATCATCTGCGCAGCCGCGCATTTCATTGAGTTCATCCAGGCCCATGTACCTTGCCCTTCCACCTGGGAGTGCTACGGGCAACCTGTTTAAGCACACTCCTGTTCAAAGAAGAACCCGAATACCTGAAACACTGAAGCCCCAGTTTCAAAAAGCTCCCACCTGGCTGGTTCAGAACATCCTGGGCGAAGTTTTGCGCCATCGATGTGTTTTGAGTCACGGACCAGTCTACTGTCGCATTTTGTGCTGCTCCTTCTCGCTTGATGACATCGAACCTGGTCAGGTCCAAAACCCCCAAACCCTCAGAGCCACAATTCCCCAAACCCTGAAACCCGAAACCATCCCTCAAAACTTGAGACCAACAGGGCGAGGAACCACATGATTCCTTTCAACATGGGAAATTCAGCGCCGCCGCAGAGGCTTGACGGTGGGCACGCTGTCAATCCGAAGACCTGCAGACTGCTGGCGAATGGAGGCGGTTTGGGGTTGAGGGTTTAGGGGTCCCTTTAAAGGGTCTATATGGGGTACTATAAGGGTACTATAAGCGAGTTTAGGGGTTTAGGGGTTTAGGGTTTATAAGGGCTTTTAGGGGAGTTTAGGGCTTAAGGGGTTTAGGGTTTAGGGGTTTAGGGGAGTTTAGGGGTTTAGGGTTTAGGGGAGTTTAGGGGTTTAGGGGTTTAGGGGTTTAGGGGTTTTAGGGGTTTTGGGGGTTCTAGGGGTTTTAGGGGTTAGGGGTTTAAGGGTTTAGGGTTTAGGGGTTTAGGGG